AGTATGTAATGAATCAGGAGTAGTATTGGAAACATTTTTTTTCTGTCAGCCACACATTATTCTGGTGAGTTAGTTCTTTTTAATTCATCGTCCAATGTTTGCCTTTCTTACTTGATGACAAATACACAGTTGCATGTTTCCTATTGCTGTAGTCTATGTTTTTTTTGTCCACGATGGGCTTTGTATTTCTCCCCAGTTTGGTTTGGATTCAGACTGTGTGTGACTTTGAGCAGGAGGCTAAGATCCAAGTACACAAAAAGGTGTGGGTGACAAAACAGGATTTACCAGGGGAAGTGGTGATCTGAATTATCCCTTTTGAGGGACTATTTATGTTTCATCAGCTACCATAGTGACAGATGCAAAGCAAGCAGAAGGGAGGAATTCACAACTGCAAAACTCATGCCTGCTAGAACCCAGCCATCTTTCCATGACAGTGAAGCCAAGATATTGCTCTAAGGAAAGTATGTTCCAGAGCAAGAAAATTGTTACAAATTCACTAGGGCATTTGTTATGGTTGCCACTAGAGAGAATACGTTCCTGGTTTTCATTTATTTTTTCATTTATTTTCTTAGTTTTGGTAATTTAAGGCTAGAACCTTTATTTCAGTAGATGATCTGGTTAAGACACTTGATGGCCACTAGGGAGGTTCTCCCTTCATTTTGTTTGTACCCCTTTTTATTTTGAACATATATGTTAACTAAGTGTTTCTTCACTTCCACAGTTATCCCCTATCTATTCCCAAGTCAGATGTATGTGATAGCTGTGGAAATGTTGTCTCTGTTTTGGACCAGTGACAAGGTGTAATACATTAAATGTGACTCCTGTTTGCAGCACTGTTACTATATAAAAAGGTCTGCTTGCTCCTAGGACTCTGCTTTTGCTAGATTGTGAAACTTGAGCCTAGTCCAACACATAGGAAACCAAATGAGGCAGATTTGATCTCAAGCATTCAAGTATGAATTTGGGTGGTTGCTGATACCCTGAAGACAGGAACATGAGCAGTATAGAGAAGACCGGTGAAGACTTGATTGCTCCTGTTGATATTGGAGTAGTAAACGGCCTTTCCCTAAGAACCAGTGTGACATGCCAAACTAGAACCGAGTCAAGAATGGAGCCTTGGCAGATAGTGTGTGTAGAGTTAAGCTATGATAGTCCCTACCTGTTGAGTCCTTGATTCCGGTGCCCTTGTCAAGGTTATTCTCATATTGTCTGTGGAATCAGCTGCAGATTTTAAGGTAGAAGTAAAAAAGAAGGATCTGAAGTCCTGATTCACACCTGCCGATATCCAGAGAGCAAGCAGAGAAGTTACTGACAATTGATTTTTAAGAATGAAAATGAGATTATTCTACGCAGCATTTTGAATCACTAGTAGTTGGGTCTTGCTAGGAGGAAAGGAATGAACATTTGTGACGGAGGTGCAGCGCAGTGGTGCGCTCTGGCAGTTTGGCTACTGACTGAATTGCAGTGTAATCTAATTGTTTGTAAGCTGCTTGTTTGGTTAAACTTGATTTCTCTGATTGTCCGTGCCATGTTAATAGATTGAACTTTGAGAGGACAATATAGGGCACCTCCAGTAGTTGAAGATTGCGTCTAGTGAAGTTCAAGACGGATGCTTGCGGGGAGCTGTACCGCATGCAGTCCCCCTCTGCGGCACCACACGTTTGTGGAAGAGGGAGTACTGTAGGCCTTATGTAGCAGGGTGAAAGTACTGTCAATGCGAGAGGAGCACATGGATATCTTGTATGGAATATCTCATCCCCAAGTTCTGCAGTCTCTTTCTTGTCCTGCCTGGAGCTGCAGGTGCTCAACTGCAGGCTTTTTGCCTTTAACACGTACCAGGTAGCAGTCAACCACAACCATTTAACAGGATTTAAAAAACTGTTGATACCACTTGTAGTGAATCTCAGTTATTTGCTTCGTGACCTTAAGCCATTTTGTGTCACCAGAGGAAATTCAATGAAGGGAATGTGTGCCAAGTCTATATAGAGCACCGATGAAAGATGTTAAAATGGTCACGTCTTGGAAGGTTGTCTGCTTTCTGCTTTCTCTTTCCATAATGACAAGATAAAAGAGGCTAAAACATTGTGGTGCCCTATAGTTACTGGAGCTCCAGTGCTTGGGAAGGGACAACATCAAGTCCCTTCCCAAGGATTTGATAACTTCAGATGGGCAAGCAATAAAGGGATAGGCTTCCTCTTTGTCTAGTAATTTGTTGTTGACCATATCCATGTATGATGAGGTAGATTCACGAAACAAAAACTTGTGATGACAAGACAGTGAGAGGTATAAAAACGGAGGAAATCTGTTTGCAAGAGTGCTGATTCAGACACTTTCCCTTTATCGTGGAGAAATCACAGACCAAAACCATCATTTTGATGTTATTGCAAAGTGATACGGAAAATAAAGTACTCGTGAGTTGGTTGTGAGCATTGTTTTGCATTTTGGTGCAAGTTTATGTTGCAAGTCACTGTGGTAGTAAGATGTGGAAGTTGTGGAAGAATGGATCCGAGAAAGTTTATCACAGAGTAAAAGGATGAAGCAATCCACGGCTGTTTTGATGCAGCCTCTGCTTCCAGAACTGTGTGTGGCACTTCTCCACCCAATTCTGTATTACAAGGGGGTTTTCTGTGTTACCTCACCTATAAATTAGTGTTTTTCGCTAAACGGTGCAGCTGAGAATATCATGGGTACCCAGTGAATGGACTCGATTAGACTTTTTTTAAGGAGATAGACCTAAATGTCATGAATCTTATGAGATACCAGCGGTTTGCGAACAACTGAAATCTCATATTTTTACCTTGTTATCATATATATATAACACTTGCAAAGAATAAGAACACTGCTTAACAGATTTTCTGCTATAGTACCAAAATCTCAGAGACACAGAATTAGATTTTCCTTTTTTTTCCCCCCTCCCATTTTAATTAAATTAGACGTCCACGATATCTCTCTCAGAAAATTATTTTGGATGATGTGTCCAGTACAGAATGAGGGTGTTCTTCAGGAATATTAATTTAATATAATTCCCAGGGAGTTTTGATAGGTGACTACAGAAGTCATGGGATAAGAAATTGGGGAAATATCAAGTGCAGATGAGAAAATGGAACATTATATATGGCAAAATAAAGTAATAGACATTGACTTAATGACATCAAAAACTCTTCTAACAAGTTCCAGGATTCCAGAGTGTTAATCTCATTAGTTTCAACTTATTATCCAACTGTCAGCTCCTGGATCCGTGTGGAATCACCAAAATTCAAGTCAGATAGTAAATCAGGTTAGAAATCTAAATTAATTATTGAAAAGTAGCTCCAATTTCTTTTCCCGTTTGAGCTCAGTTGTGATTTACTGTACTGAATTACTGACCAGCCAAATTCTCTTTTAAACAGTTCTCTGTCATTATGCTGCTGAAGAAGTCCAGATTTTTCCATAAAACCTGACGGTGTATTTATTTTTGGCACGGGTTACCATTCCTGCCAGTGGAATCCCTGTAGTTTTGGCTAATTGTAATAAAGCTGTAACTATGTGATTTCCATGGAAATTAATTTAGTCACAGGATTTTTTTGCCTTTTTTTTATATTGATGTCTTTGCTTGACACAGCCTTCCAAAAGTACGTATGGTTCAAAGAAAAGCTGTGATTAACATCATTGAGTATTTATAGAGAATCGCCCGGTATATATATATGTTGCTTTTCTGGATGAAACAGAAACTGCTTTACTCTATCTGTTGGACTTGTATGCTAGTAGATAAACTCCTGTAGCTCAAGCAGGGCATGTGCTTTTGAGATCTTGCCCTATTAGTCTCTTTAGGTAGAAAGTTTTTATAGCAACACTCATGCGTTACAATCATATGGATTTTTAGTCTGTCCAGCTTGCTTATATTCGCTTTAAAGCACTTTTTAAAATAACTTTTCTTGTAATCTTAATTCATAATGGGGAATATTCTTCATGTGTGTATTTCCAGATTCAAGTATGAGTAGGCAGTTTTAGTGTCGACTAAATTTTCAGCTTTTGGGGGGGTCAATATTTTTCTGTATGAGATTGAGAGTATTCCGGTTACGCTGTTCCCTGCTGCTGATGTGCCCAGAGCTTGAATTCAGTCTTTACCTAGCCTAGAAATGTCGGTGATATTTTTAAGCAAGTGTTTTAAAATGCCATATAGGAAGGCTGAGCAAGAAATCCAGAGAAATGTTATTAAGAAATGCTTTACAGGGCTTGAGGATGCCTAGTAGGAACATTAAATTGCTTATACTTAACTCTCCTTTTGGGAGTAACCTTATTAGTGCATCAAGTTATTTCTTATTTGTTAGATACTGATATATTAGGAGAGGAGGAATTAAGAGCCTAGTGCCAGGAATCTGAAGTTCCATACCTTTTTTTTTCCCCTCCATACTTCTGTGTTCCTGACTTAGGTGATTTTAAATGTATTTGAGGTGCCTAATGCCTGTTGAAGAAACCATAAGCACTGAGCTAAACTGGAAAAACCCTGCAGGTGTGCAGGGGGGCAGCTACCCAAGTTACCTACCCAAGTTGCTGAACTGCCTTGGATACCTTGGATACTGATACCAGTTAGAGGATACAAACCTAGCGCAACTGCACTTTATATTTTCAAAATACAGTATTCACAAAAGATATCAACCTTTAATTGGACAGGCCAGCTTGCAATATTACATTAGTGAGGTGGATGAACAACGTTGAATCAGTTGATAACATTGATTCTGCGCTTTTATTGCTTGTAACTGATTGCTCAGTGGAGACTTCTGTTGAGATGAAGGCCTTTTCCTCAGTCTTTTATTCTTAACTGAGAGCCCAGTATGGCATATTAGCATCTTACATTATGCCTTCCAGTGAATTTATATGAATGTAAAGATACAGAAATGTAACCACATGTCTAAGTCACAATTACACTTGTATTCAGAGAGTGACTGCAAAGGTGAATAAGGTTTTTGTGTACAGCTGTGTGTTATTTTATTATAAACATACCCTTTTTTGTCCTCCTAGGTATGGCATGAACTGCCTCATTCAGTTTGAGGATTTTGCTAATGCTAATGCATTCCGCCTGCTGAATAAGTACCGTAACAAATACTGCACTTTCAACGATGACATTCAAGGTAACACTCTCTCTTTCTTCTATTGCGACGCTCACAAGTCAGAAAAATAAGTCTCAGTTTCTCTACCGGAGGTGTGAATGTATAAATTCTCATATAAATTATAACGTTGGTCAAATGTGAGAGCTCAGGCCTGCACTGTATTTCCCTTTTTTCTTTGCTGCTACAGTGACAACTGCTCTGCAGTTGCTCTGTGCTTCAGAGCTTTCTTGATAAATGTCAAGCTTTATTTCAGTTCCTAAACTGAAAGCTCAGCTAATCCTCTAATTTCTGTTGAAGTTTCAGGGCTGCATTTAATTTTAGAGGGAAATTATCCCCTTGACTCTGCTTTCCCATCTGAATCATTTGTGGCAGCTGGCATACAGAAGAGATCCAGGAGGAGGCAAGTTGGCAGCACGAGGAAGAGCCTCGAGCTCTGCGGTGCCTTTGGGGAATTTGTCTGGGTCTGCAAGCGAGGGAGGTGCCCTCAGGGCATAACCTAGATGGACCACATGTCCCTTGGCTCCCAAGAAAGAGATGAAAAGAATAGAAACAGCTGAGACTAATCCTGTCTTGCCCTATTTCCTTATTTTTTTACAGGAAGAGAGTAGTGGGAAGTAGCTTTCTGTAGGGCAATGAGGGTCCTGGCTTGCTTGCTTGAACTCAGAAGAGCTGGAGAGGGCAACCAGGGCTCTTGGGCTCAGCCGCCCCTTGCCCCTGCATTTTCATGGGTGTTGGAGACCCTTTGCACTGACGATATCAGCTGCTCTCATTTTCAGTGGTTTGCAGAGAGCCTGTGCACATTAAGAGCTGGGGTTTTTCCAAAGGCTTCTTGCTCCAAGTCGTGCTTGGGACCTGCTGCGTGTGGGGGACCCGTGCAAGCTTGCTGGTACAAATAGCCCTTGTCTCGGCGATGCGGGGGTTTGTGAGCTACACGAACTCTGATTTTGTTGTGAGGTTTGTTCCTGCCTTTGAAGCAGATTGGGGAAGGCAAATTCCCAGATGGGAAAAAAACTAATTATAAAATGTCGTTTCTCTCTGTAATGAGCACGTGGTGCTTGCTACCCTGCGGGGTTCGTGGGTAGCCCTGGTGACAGCACCTCCATACAAATGCAGCAGACCAAGCAGCCTCTGGAAATTTCTCTGACTGTTTGGAGACCCAGCTCCCGAGGGGAATTCTCTTTCCTTACAGGAGAGAGATCTGCACTCAGTCACTGAGATGGGCAACTAGAATGTAGTTTTAAATACACAGAAGTGACGCTTTCCCTGCAAAAACCTACTGAATATTGCAACACTGAGCTGGGAAAGTCTTCAGTGTTACTCCAGATGCATTTTGTAGCCTCTACTTTTTTTCCTAATCCACCTAGGAAAGAGCTGTCCTCACATTCACAACTGTCCTAAAGTATCTGCCTAGCTTTCGGCCCCAGCTGCCTTAGCGGCTGTCAGTCTTCCTTAAAAGTGCAGCCACAGTTTATTCCACTTCTGCAGTCTAATTTCTGGCTGTGGCTCTGCTGGTGTTTTCCTAAATGATGCCTGGGACTTCCAGGTGACTCCCGGCTGGAGCAGGTACTCCGCTCCCTTCCATTTGCTGTCATATCCCCATAAATGGCCCTGGCATCCTTTCTGTGCTCTGAGACCTGGCAACAAGGCAAACAGAAGTTTGAGCCGTTTCTGTAAGCCTGTATTAGAATATTGAAATTACTCATCTTCTGTCATTCTTGAACCTTCCTACTTTTTTGTTTGGATGAGTGGTGCCTTTTACCCCCTCTGTGATTATGAGCATTTTCACATGCTTGTATTTTTGAAATAACTTTCTAAGATCGCAATAGCAGTAACATTGCCTTAGGGAGAAAATATTCACTTTTTTTTCTTGGATTCTTGCTTGTTTCTATTCTGAGGAAAAGTCAGTTTGCTTCAGCTTTTTTCTCTGGAACACAGAGAATATGATTTTTGGAAATGAAGCTCAGTGGAGGCCTTGGGTTCAAAATAAATGCCTATATCTGCTTTTCTCCAACTGTTAGGCAGCATTTTCCAACATCAGATTGTTTTTGATGGTAATTTCCTACGTGGAAAAAATTACTAATATTTTAATGCCAAGCTCTCAAACATTTAGAAAGGAGTGGACTAAAATATGTTGATAAACTTTGTTTTTCCTCACTGTATTTAGGGTGAGAAGCCATAAGGACAGTACTGGGATTTTCTTAAAGAAGTGATGTGCTTTTTACCCCACTGAAAGTCCTACCTTGGCATGGAGCAACCCTGGAAAATGAATCGGGATTGTGGCATGAAACCGAGTCGTACAGTGAGAGGAGATGCCCCTGCCTCTGTGGGCCTCCCTGGAGGGAGATGGGGTTGGGATCCCTCATCTGGGGAGCTGAAAATCCCCTTGGGGAGATGAAGCCGCTGCATTCCCTGCACAGGGCTCCTACCTGGTGCTGCACAAAGCTCTTAAGAGAGGTTAAAGAAGAAGCTTTAGATGCACATCCAGAATTAGGGTGTCTGAAGCCCTTATGCCCTTATTTGCTTAGTACCTGCGTTGCTGACGTGGCTAAATATGAAAGAGTGGCAAAGCTTTCTCCGGGCTCGCTGCCTCTAGCCGTTTTGCCTAGTTGCTTTGATTTCCTCCCCCAGTACTTTACAATTGCCTCAACGGAAAGTGACAAACTTCTGTGGTGTAAGCCAATATATGAAAACTGTTTCTCTATACGCGGTATAATTCTGCAAGTTTTCGTTTGAGCCTTATAGCTCTGCTTCCCCGTGCCCACCGAGGCAGCGCTCTCCCCCGTTACGGGCACCGAACCCACACTGCGAAGCCAACAAAAACAAATTCCAGCCCAGTGCAATCTCTCCAAGTAAATAACTTCAGTATCCGGCATGACTTTAGATGTCATTTGTTTTTAACAGCTGTGCGGTGTAATTGCAGCAAAATTTTATTAAAGAAACAGACCTGAGAAAGAATGGCGAGCACATGCAATTTAAGATCATTCCATCTTCCACATGTGTTTTGGATTAAAATATATACTAAATGTTTAGCAGACTGTACCATTTGAATAGTTAGGAAAACTTTAGCTGAAAATTATGCTGTGAACACGTTAAACTAAAATCAGAGTAATTCTTAGAAATCAGAATGTCCCTATCACAAACTTTTTAGCATTTAATTTTTTATTAACATTGGAAATGTTACAAATAGTATCTGGAAATTCCAATTCTTGAAATTGCTATATAAATATATATTTTTAATTTAAGATCATGGAAGTTTTCTCTATTTCATTCTCTGACCGAGAGTTTGGGAAATGAGGTGTTAAATGATACATAGTAGCTCACATTTTGATACTTCAAATATCGAATATTTGATGTCTGGTATCTCCAATTCTGATACTAAATGGACTATAGAAAATCTCTTCCATAACATGAAATGTAGCAGACTTTCATTATAACTTAAAAAAAATCCAATGAAGACATTTACTCTAGAGTTACCTGAGGAATATTTTTCTTCCAGTATGTGCATGATATCACCTGCCTAATGGGATTTATCAGTGGTAAATTTTCAGTAGAATGTGTGTGCTTTCAAATAAATGCCCCCCTATAGCTTTTATGCACTTCGATGGACCCTTTGGTGCACTTTCCCGTGCATTCTCTTCTTCATTTTTCCTCATCGTGGCTAACTTTCTGAATCAATCGTGACTTTTGTTATGCAGTAAATATGCATGTGGAGTGCCACACGCTAGCTGTGGCAGCCCTAAGGGACAGAAAACACTTTGCCAGGGTCAGTCACACTGGGAGAGATTTTGTGGCCTGAGAGACCCTCCATTTGGGGCAAAAAATAATCATCGCAAATCAAGAAATCCATGATCAGAAATCAAGAAATCCATCAAGAAATCCATCTATCTCACTACGGCTGAGCTTCCAATTCTGTGCGCTTCGTAAAATAAATAGTTGAAAATTTTAGTCAAGTTTAAACATGATATGTGACATGCTAAACATGTGACATGCTAAAGCTCAGCGCAAATACACCAAGGGCTGATCTTTAAAGAAGGCCCAATTTCTGCTTTGCTGGAAAATTCCTTCCCCTCCCCATCTGGCTGCTGCAGGCCAGGGCCCTGCGTTTGGCTCCATGTGCAAGGAGCTCGGAAAGGCACATTAAGCCAAAGAGCAGGAGGTCCCGTCTCTTTAGATAGTATTATTACAAATCATTATTATTATAATTAACTTTAAATAACAGACAAATATTTCAGGGCCACAACGCTGGAAGATGCTGAGCTCCAGAGAGCTTCATGTACCAACCCAAAGAAGGCCTCGGTCTCTCGGGTTTCCTGTGACATACTCATGCTCAACTGCGTCATTTATAGTCACAAGGAAGGCTAAAGAAGCTTGGACAACAGGCAAAGCCTTGATAATGAATAGTGCTCTTTGAAATTTCACATCCAAGATCATTTTTTTCAAGATTTTGCAGAAGGATTCATCTTTGTAGGAAACCAGTGTTTGTTTTCAGAGCATCTAGGACTTCTTTAGAAAAATATCCCCCTTTCTTAAACTTGTTGTGATTATTGACTTTGGGAGAGGAAAATCAAATTGGTTTCCAAAATAATATTGCTGGATCTGCTTTGTTTTCTTGTGCACACAGCAGATTTAACCTGTGCCCTGGGGGAGAGGGAGGGAGAGCTACTGCTATCCTTCTTGTCACGATGGTCACGGAAGAAGCAGTCTCCGTTTTGTATCATTCATGAGACTCGGTCGGTCTGCGGCGGTTCGCCGTGGATTGCATTTTGATTCCCTCCAAAACCTCGAGTCCGTATTCACAGTGAAATTTAAGGTCATGCCATGGGTGAGAGCAGTTCTGGTTAAACAGATCTGCTATTCACGCTCTGCGTTTCAGGAGGAGCAGATCAGGCCAGCTGCTGACGAGGAGCGATGACAGTCGCTGCCAGCAGCGAGCGGCGATACGGACTGCTCAGTGCTCCCATGAAACTGGGTTATTATCCTGTTAGAGACAAATGGCTGAATCAAACAGATGTACTTTTAAAATGCTGGGTTTAGAACAGTTCTTCTGCACAAACCATGGTTTGTCAGAAATGCAGTGCTTAAAGCCTTTATGTATTCCCATCATAACCTTCGTTGTGAGTCCCCTTCCACATTCCCTGCAAACAGTCAGTGCAAAACCTTTTTGTTTCTCTGTTCTTTCCCCTTAAAATGCAAGATTTATGGTGATAAAATTTGCAGAAGTAGCAGGTACAGGTACTACAGCTGATATTGATGGACATAATGTTATGAGCAGCAGTACTTCAATGCTGTGAGGACAGGCAGGTGCCCAACCTTCCCATTCGTGATAAATCCAGTGATTCATTTTCACAGCTGCAGGTAGGACCACGAAGGTGGTAGCTGTAGGTGTATGAAGCTTTGGATGTCCCCAGCGAGCATCTTGCAGGACGGCTTCTGCAGCTCCCACCATCTCCTCTGAGGATGGCAGGGGGCTGCTGTAGCCACAGCCTTGGCCAGATCCCAGCAGATGGAGCGGGCTTTGGGAGCTGGAAAACGGCCTTGAAATGCTGCCTTTGAGGCGGTTTTCTTTTTCAGGAGACCAGATCGATGGTCTGAGGAATCAGACGTGTTGTGCAGGCTTCCTCCTCCTCTCCTGCAAACACAGCTGGGTAACATAAAATAGAAGAAAGCATTTGGCATCCAAAGATGGGATTTTGCTGAAGGCTGCGAGGGTTGCTTGGTGGAGAACCAAGGGAAATTTAGAATGCAGTCTAACATCTTTATTTCTTCATTTTTGGCCATTGCCAATTTGGCATTTGCTGGAGCAAGACTTAATTTCATCTGGGAAAGGAAGAAGCTAACTCTCGGATATTGCGGTGTGGAAGTGCCTCAGCCTGACGGTCGTTGTTCCCAGAGCCGAGTCTCAGAGGAACCGCTTTTATTTTGAGAAACGTGTAGTAGATGAGATGAGTCGAGGGTAGATGATCTCAGCTCTCTGAGCAAGAAATAAAAAGACCAAAAATGACAACCTTGTATGGTCTAAACATCAAGTGAGCTAAGAACAGGGTGTCCTCTGTTTCCAGGGACAGAAGGGAAAACTCTTAATCAAAAGCATGTAACAAACTCTTTTCTTACATCCTTCTGTCACCTGGTTTGGAACTGTTCAGGTAGATTGACTTTAAAAGGTGAATTTATGAGGGAGTTTCTAGCTTGAAAATGTATTCTTAAATTTTAGAAAGGGTTACATTTTATTATAAAATAAAATTATATCATTTATAATTATAATCATTTATCAAACTCAGCAGATCATATGTATAAACGGCATATTTCAACCCAACTTTCAACACCCAGTTGATGCGTTTAAGCAGATGATTTTGTGGAGTCCCTTGAAGCATGTTTAAGGATCTTGATGAGCTTTAGATTTGTAGAAAACATGCTTCACGTATTTTAAAACAGCAGCGTGTGTGTATAATGACTGGAAAAATACATAATATCTTTTCCACAGCATGACTGCCATGTTCTTAAGCAACTTTTAAGGAACAAGCTTCCCTTCTCCTGGCTTTCAAGCTCCAGTTTGAGTAGATAATGAATGGTATTTTTTGGCAAGCAAAATCCATTACAAAAATCAGTCCCTCCCTATATGCTTGTATATGCTGTGCATTTGCCATGGGGCGGTGGCTGCCCACAGCTTTCAATGGGAGCATGTCCCTTGGGTGTGTGTGGTATCTCAAAGGATGGAGGGAATCCTCATGGGAACAGCCTTGTCACCACTGGCAATGGCTGGATTCCAGGAGCCTCAAGTGTTGGAATTGTAAGGAAACTCCTAAATGGCATCATTTATTAACTTGGTTTTGAATGCCTATTTTTAACAATCCTTAGTCGGAAAATTGTTGAGCTTCTTGTGTTTAGCTATTCACTGTTTCTTTCTACTGTGTCTTTTTGATTTGCTGAGGATTCAAGGAAGTTTAAAGAGCTTTAATAAGTGGAGGCCAGTCTTAAAAATCAGCCAATTTAACTCCAATTAGATTCCAGTTCTTTGGCATTACAGCCCTAAAGGCGCCCTGCCTCTGCCGCCGCAGATTCGCTGCAGCCTGGAGGCGTGGGGATACAGAAGCCCTGCTCTTCAGACCAGTTTCACCACTAGAATCTTGTCCTTGCCAATTTGCCAAAAATAGCAAGATACAGAATTGCTGAAGTTTTCTGTTGAAGCGCCAGATCAGCTCCTCACTGATTACTTGAAAAAAGATGATACCTAAAGCAGTAGCTTCTAAGGGGTTTGGATGACCCTTCTCTACATTTTTTTCTCTGTCTGTGTGGATTCCTGATAGCTGAGGGTCCGATCCGCAGGAGTCTGGAACAGCTTTAGTCAGTGATGCCAATACATTAAGAATGTACTTTTACCTTGAGCAGGCCTAGGTGCCAAGAGGATAAAGAGGGTTTGGGTTCAAACCACTAGGTGTTTCCTGCTGCTTGTATTCTTTTATTTCTTAGCTGCATGTGAAGCTTATGTACTCCATGTGCCTCCAATATAAATGTATGTTTTGAACATCTCTTTGAGCACAATAAAGAGGTTGCTCCCTGAGCTCCAGAATTTGCTTTGCAGGCCTGTAAGGAGCATATGTGCATCGCTCAGGGTTATCTACTGCACACTATTTCTGAAGAAGAGGTCAATAGCAGTACGGCCTTCACCTCCCAAGCAACTGGTTGGCTTGTGGACAGTTTCAGTTAGTGCTATGGCCCTCGGAGTCCTAGGAGGCAGCAGATCTCCTCCCTCCAAGCTCCCAGCAGCTTCTCGAAGTCAGTGACAGCGTCGCTGCTGGTATCCGTGGTCAGAGGGCGGATTGCAGTTCCCACTCCCTGCACTGTGCCAAGGGGAAGCTGCAGAGCCCTTGCTCATCCCCCTGCCCGTCAGCTCGGGCATCATACCTTGTCAGGGACTGGTGAAACCCAGTTTTCAATTTTCAGTCATTTATCCTGTGTGAGTGATAGCTTTTTTATTTCTTCACTACTGATGAAATCAATGCTGTCTGCTATCAATTTTTCAGAATCTCCTCTAAAAGACACCTTTAGCAAAGTATTTCTGCTGGCACATCCCCTCCTGATACAGGATGCCTTTATAGCATCCTGCACCTTGCTGATAGCTATTACACTCTCTCTCTCTCTCTTTTTTTTTCTCCCTCCAGTACTTAATAGATCTAAATTCCTTGCAGGAATAAGGAATCCTATATTTTTTGTATATTTTTGCCCACACAGTGCCTGGGCTTTAGTGATGATAGTTTGTGAAAAATGTAAGCCTGTTACCTGAAGCTCGTGTCCGGAAAGAAGGATGCTAAGAAACCAAAATAAAACAAGTTTCTGTGTTTCAGTTTGCCTTTTCCTTTCTCCCATTTAATCCCTTCTTGGTTTTGAATCTGCACTGAGGATCAGTCACACATTTCATCATGTGTAGCTTTCTAGCTTGCTTTCTTAAAGGCTGACTTCTATGCTCTAGAAGATAAGGTAAACTTTCTAACATAGCAGTTGGACGTGGGGTTCCTAGGAATGTTGAATCCTTTCTTTGAAACTGTTATTCTATTCCAGTATATGTTTGTTTATATATATACACGTACACACATATATTTCATGTATATTGTGTAACCAAAAGGCTATATTAGTGCTTATTATTACTGTTGTCAAAGCAGCTGGGTGATGTAGGGGCTATAACAGCAGCATTCCCATGCACAGTCTACTCAGTATTCCTTAAAACGCGTTGCTCTTATGCTGTACCATGAGGCTTTCTGAAAATCTAGAATTTTTAATAAAAGGGCATTAAATTACACAGATATTGGTTCCCTGCCTCCTCCATTTTTGCAGGAACTGGAGTTCTGAGTGGTTTTCAGTGCAGCAGGACAGCCTGTGACTCCAATAACCTGATCCTGCTCTCCCCTGTAGGTCTGACATCCTCCACATGAGATGCCAGATTTTATTGTGATACCTATTATGGGATTTTCCTTTCAAGAACTCCCAAGAATCAGTCACGTTCAGTAGGATCAGTGCAGATACTTATTTGGAGAATAAGACCTGGAGTCCTTCAAAATACATCAGTCTGGGCTGTCCAATCCTTTCTTTCTGCAAAAGATCTTAACTAGAATACTTAGGAATAGTTTGACTGCAGCAGCAATTATGGGCTTTAGGTAGAATTAATAAATCAGTCATATCTTATTTAATGATACTCTGAAGATATTCCCACTTTTATTTCTTTTTCATAAAAAAATAAATAAAACAAAACCTAGTCCCACCAATTTTTTTTTATTAGCTTGAGCGTTTCTATCTTTTAACTGAAAGATGTCAAATTCTTTAAGTGCATTCCTAATGCTTTTTAAATGTTTCAAGACTAATAAAAATTTCTTC